CGTTTTCATAAAAAAACGTGTCTTGTATGTTTACTAATTTCACCAAAAAATGAAAACTTCAACTGGAATATAATTCTATTCTTTTGTATGTTACTAAAAAAAATTCAATTTATATTTTTGAAATAAAAAAAAAATATTGTACGTCAAGTAAAATAAATTATATATACACAAAAAGTATCCAAAAACTAAATTATGAAAAAAAAAAAGTAAACCTCTGCAAAAATATCAACGCGACCCTGCCAGGATTCGAACCTGGAATCTTCTGATCCGTAGTCAGACGCGTTATCCATTGCGCCACAGGGCCGTTGAGAAGCTGACGAATTTTGTAATCTCTATTTATGAACGTAATTATATTGAAAAAAAAAAAAAACTGTTAACTAAAATAATTCCGAAATCAGCGTTAATATTAATTTACTTTCTGACTAGTCGATTAGATTTTATTCCCAGATGTAAAAAATCCTGATTATTATAATACGTATTTTACCGTGGTAGGGCAACGCATCAGTTTTCACTGTTGCACGAATGGGCAGGTCCATCCGGGTTATTAGTTGCATAGTAAATTGCAAGTGTTAGTGTTCTTTCGCGTTTCTTCCGGTGAGTGAGGTAGCCGAGGCCCATTTATAAAAAGACGGCAACGCATCTACAACCTTACGGGTGTTGCAAATGTCCATGGGCGGCGGTTATTACTTAACATTGGGTGAACCGCCAGCTCGTTTGCCACTTTTTCACATAAAAAAAAATCTATGTTATCTAATTAGGACATCATATAAACATTTGTTTTGGGAAATTAAAGATGGCGATTTCGTAATTATTGTTCGACACCTATGTACCTACTTGTATTTAACTGTGTTTTTGACAAATAACGTAGCACAAACTTAAAAGAAAGGATTCAGTGCAAGAACGTTGTCTTTAAAGGATAAAATTGCCGTAATTCGGGGTACCCAGAAAAACCTGCGCTCAACGGCGAGGTCTGTTACCGGGGCTTTTTGCGTCATCATTTCCCAGTAAAAGCGTCATCACGTGCCCATCTAAAGACCGACCAAGTGCGAGTCAATTATTATCTTTACCAAAAAAGTGATGTCTGTTGTGTGGAAGCCCCACTTAAATATTTTTTAAAGCGGGTAGAGAAATACATTTGTGAAAATGCGACTGTCTAACTATCACGGTTCACGAGATACAGCCCGGTGACAGACGGACAGACAGACGGAGTCTTAGTAATAGGGTCCCGTTTTACCCTTTTGATACGGAACACTAAAAAGTGTATTTTTCGCTCAATTTCGGCGTGTCCTTTCGGCTACTCCGCAAATTGCAAGTCTGTCACCAGAACACCGTTTTGGCGAGGTGGTGTCCTATTTTTTATGGGTCTGACACGTTGAATAATGTAATTATTGTCGTGTGACAAGATATATTTTGTTGGATGATTATAATGTGTAAGGTCAGGTAAAGTCACGATGGAACCAAGTACAAGTAGGCTAATGGCCAGAGTGCAAATGTATACATTGCAATATACATATGTATACAATGTTATAAGTAGTGCCACTCCAAAAAATCGTTATGAATAAGTTTTTATTTTTACTTTTAAATGACCTGAATGTATTATTATGTGGTGTACCTGCCTCCTGCGCCAGAGCGTGTGGGTTCGATTCCTACTAGTGGAGAAATATTGTGTGATGAACGTTTTTCTAGTGTCTGGGTGTTTATATATGTATAATATGTATTTATTTACAAAAGAAAAGTATGTTTAAGAACGTTGTGTAAAAATGTGTCCTAAAATTTTTATTTATTTATTATTATTTAATCATCACAAATTGTTACAAATTCTGAATAATACGGATTGTGGTGTACTGATCCTAGCTCAGCGAATTTATTTTCACGTTACCGACGACAAACTTACATTACTGGGATAGGCAATTATTTATTGTGAATACACAGAATCAATCAACGATATATTTGCAATTGCAAGGCTTCCGGATTTAGCCGGACAGACATCGCCTAGAATGTGATGACAGTCAAAACGTTTTGAATATTTATATACCTATTTAAATATTCTTTTTTTATAATAATTCGCGAACTATAGAAGTCAAAATATAATTTTTAACAAAAAAAACCGACTTCAATCAGAAAATTAAAAACATTGTTAATACCTATAACATTCAATGATGGCACTCGATTTCTCTGGGATGCCATCATCAGATCCGGGTTTCCTTATCATGGTACGACCCTAGGGATATCTTCTTTAAGTCAAAAAAAGAATCATCATAATCGGTTCAGAAACGAACACACAAAAAAAATAAAAATATATACGGTCGAATTGAGAAATCTCCTCCTTTTTTGAAGTCGGTTAAAAAAGGCCGATTTATCATGCCATATTGGGTGTAAAGGCCCATTTACATGGTGCCAGTTTCTTGCCTGTTGTATACAATTAAATTGAAGCAATAAATGAGTTGCATGGTCTAAACAATTATTGCGCGCAATTTATTGCATTCAATTATTGCTCTTGTATGTACAAGAAAATGGCATCATAATGGGCGTTTAGACTTGCTATACATTGAGGTACCGCTGAACACACTACACAGGGTATCTATCACGTAAGACCTGCGTGTCGTCTAATTTGTTGCATGCAGCGTGGCCTCTGTTTTGCATAATCTGTAGCACCTTTGAGAAGGTCGAGCGGACGAACGATTGTATTAACTATCTCACTGTGGCACCAATTAGTGTTTAAACTCTTTTTCAATTGGACTTCTGTTAATGAGCCATTGGGAATGAGCTTCTATTATTCTGGCTCACTTTAATCACAGAAGCCTATCAGATTTACTACAGAGAGATAGCATTTCGTTTAGAAATGCTGTTCTATTTTATACGGATAATGGACGATTCGATATTTTATAGTTATACAGATAAAGGACAGCCTCGAATCTTCGTATTATGTAGTCGCAGATAGTATTAGCATGTATCGGGGGTGACCTTTAAGATAAACACTACGGATCTCCCGGGCGGCCTTGCAACTCTATCCCCTGACACCTTATCTGGTGCCGTCCAGTGGACGTAGTAAACAATGCAATTGGAGACGGCATTACACGTGATATGGTATATTTACTACTGTCCTCAACGGAGACTTAACGATGCATTAATTGTTCTCGTATCTCATTCGGAATAATCTGTGTTGCAGAATAAATGCATGTTTGCGTGTTGCGTGATGCTATATCAATTGAGGTGTCCCTCGTACATGTGAGTGGTCCACCGACCTTGTACTTTTTATATATAAAAAATCAGCGCACATTCATGACATCAAGCTTAGTCTGTTTTGTGCTGTAGCGAATTGTTAAGCAGGATTTTCTTAGATATATACGAGTATTATTTTCCTCAAAAGGTTAAAATGTCGAAATCGTTTGTATGATTCTAATGCGTAAGGTCTACGAAGTAAGTTGATATTGTATAAATTGTAGCTATAAAGAAAAGATTCGAGAGCAAATCTTTATAGTTTGCAAAATACAAACTTAGGTTACAAAACTCATAGTAACAATACAAGAGTCTTTATCTTTTCCGAGCAGGTAGGCTGTTAATTCAACTGCTTCATTACGAGTAGTAAGGGAAGAATTGCTAGTTAACAATTTAACTGTAATGTGACATGAGACTGTGGTTGTTAATGATAACGTTATAGTCAGCTAACCGTCGACAAAACCAAAATAGAAGAAGAAGCCACGTCAATATTTTTGGCAAATGTTTAAAGTGTTAGTCATTTTAACTGTCATATTGCATTAGCACCGTCGAGGGGATATTGTTTATATAGACTGTGACATTGGTCTCTATTTGTCTATAACTAAATTAGAAGCATTTATTTAAATTTCGGTTTGGTTTCGATAAACGGAGGCCCGTTCCAAAAGTTAGCAAGGCATCTGTAAAATCCTTCACTAACATCACTTATATAAATTATGTAATAAATAAATATACTCGCCTGACCATCTATACGTATGTCGATACTGGTCACGCAACGTATATTTATAAAAACGGTCTCTTATTGCAGTCTACGGGATTGCGAAATAATATATTTATTGCAGTGTAATAATAGGCACCGCCGCGTCGTTGCTTTCACAACGTTGTTATATTATCGACATCGAGTATAATTATAAACGTTAGATAAAAAACCTGTGCCTGGATATTGGAATTATAGCAGTCTGTCGACCCAGAAAACAGTGCTTTCATTTCGATTTGGACAGGTTTATAATATCTGATACAAACATAAGGAGCTCGGATTGTTTTGCTCTGTAGTTGGTCGCAACGGACGTTTCACAAGATTACTATTGGCATATACTGAGAAATTAAAGTACTGTAGGGAAACACAGCGTTCTTCGTTGTTTCACGAATGGCTAGGCAGTGAAGCGGAACCGGAGCCCATTTTATCAAAATATGGCAACGCCATCGGCTAGCCTACGGGTACTTTAAATGTCCATGTGCTCCGAATATCACTCAACAAGTAAAGTAAAGTAAAGTAAAGTAACAGCCTATACATTTCCCACTGCTGAACAAAGGCCTCCTCTATACAGAGGGTATCAGGGCATAGTCCACCATGCGGCCCCACTGCGGGTTGGCGGACTTCACATATTCTCGACAAATATTTTTTTTTGTTATTATTTCGAAAATATGCAGGTTTCCTCACGATGTTTTCCTTCACCGCGTAGCACGTGATAAGCACCGGGGATCGAACTCGGGTTGCTCGAGTACATTGAATTTGACGCGAGCACCCGGACACTGAACAATTAATATTTAACCTCCTCTAGATACCATATCCATACTGAGCGGCATTTAAAAATTGATCCCCTTTACATTACATGAAATATATAAGTGAATGTGACAGATGATAGAAAGGATGACACGGGAAGAGATAGCAGTCTATAGCATTGCAATCGAATTACACCAATTGGTGTAATATGACCTGAATTGGTGTCTATGTATATAATGTGATTGGTCACAGCTGTTTAATTTTAACGTAACCTTTCCAGGTATGCGAGAAGCTGGAGATCGGCGCTGAGGCGGACTACTTCGGGCTGCGGGTGTGGCACGGCTCTGGGCCGGGGCGGTGGCTCAATCTGCGGAACCCGCTGGACCCCCACCGCACCGCCGGCGGCAGGCTCGAGCTGCGCGTCAAGTTCTGGGTGCCGCCGCACCTGCTCATCAACGAGCCCACGCGCCACCAGCATTACCTGCACGCGAAACTCGACCTTATCGAGGGCAGACTGGTCGTGGCCGAGCAAGAAGTCGCGCGGCGCATCGTCGCGTACATCGCGCAGGCCGAGAGCGGCGACTGCGACCCCGAAATGCCCCCCACCCACATATACGAGGAGTGCAACAGGATCGGGCCGCAGGGCGCGAAACCAGAGGACCACGTGGAGAAGATAATCGAGTACCACTGCGAGATCGCCGGCATGCGGCCCTCGCAGGCTGAGTACAGGCTGCTGAAGGAGATCTCCAAGTTGGAGTCCTTCGGCGAGGAGCTGTTCTTCTGCAAGCCGGTGACGCAGAGCAACAACGCGCACAACCTGTACAGCCACTTGTTGTACCACCGGCAACAGGCGGAGGAGCCCAGGGCGCGGGACGAGCAGGAGATAGACGGGGGGGCGACGGTCGGCTGCCTCACTTCAGGGCAGAGCGTGGGCGGCTGCGGCTGCCGGCTCAGCACCTGCGTGGGCGTGGGGCCCCATGGCATCGTCGTGTACAGGCCAGCCTGCAACGGCGACCAGGACATTGGTGTCGAAAAACAAAGGTTAGTGGGCACCATCGTACATTACGCTTTAACGGTTGTAGGGCCACGCAGCGGCCTCGGCTGTTGCACGAATGGGCAGGCTCGTCCGTGTAAGTACCACGACCTCACAGAAGACCGGCGTAAAGTCGAAGTATAATACTTTCGCGTTTCGTCCGGTTGGTGAGGTGGCCGGAGCCCAATTTTCAAAAGGTTGTCAACGCATCCGCAACCCTTGGGTGTAGCTGATGTCCATTGGCGGTGGTATTCACTTAACATCAGGTGAACCGTCTGGTCGTTTGGCAACTTTTCACATGAAAAAAATCACCACTGAAAATTATAGTAACTACAAGTATTGTGGATAGAAAAACTTCTTCTTCTTTACGTGTCGATGACAAATCATACCTTAGCCACTTTGACAGCACAATTTGTGGCATCAACAAACTGTGATAGAAAACTGAAGCATTGCCTGTTGCAGATACCATCTCTTGTACGGACTAGGACGTTTAAAACATTCAATTCTAATATTATAATGGTCTTCCAACGATTTGGCAATAAAGCTTATTGCCTTGCTTATACCAAATCGTTAGAAGAGCGACAAACTTTGGGCCTAACTCAGAAAGTAAGGATAGAACCATATCTGTTTAGTCCTTAATATATTTTACTATCTAATTATCCACATGGTAACATTCGAGATGGAGGTCGATTTATAGCGGAAAACAGGCAAAGTTGAAGACACTAAATTGTGGGCATATATATATTTTATTTCGACACGATTGCAACGTAACAAGCGGCTCCCACGAGTGTCCAGAGATGTTGCAGCCGTAATGGCGACAGTTGAGTGTGGACTTCCCGTTGCCACACACCGGATGAAACGCATCAACATAAATACTTTACGTCGGCCGTAAGGTGGTGTCACTCCCCGGACTGGCCTCTGGCAGCAAAAAGTATTAATAAGCTGTCGTTTGTCTACGCAAGTAAAAAAACCTATATCTTTAACATTGAGTTGTATGCGAATTCACCTCCACGTTTAACAAAGGTCGCGAGTCGCTTGCATTCGATTATAAAGTTAGTTCTTTGTTCAATTGTGCGATGGAATAATGGAGATTGTGATTAGTTCCTGTCTGATACACGATCAATTAAAAAAAATAGTAGCTGCTTATTTTTCAAATATCCACTTCTATCGATATCACACTATCTCTGCTTTATCCTTAGTTGCTTATGAAAATTATCCTTACTAATAAGTTAAAAGTTTGTATTTATGGATGGATGTTTGTTACTCTTTCACGCGAATACTATTGAATGGATTTTAATGAAACGTTACAATAATATAGCTTATACGTCAGAATAACACATAGACTATAATTTATATACATATTTTACGTATATTTTTCTTTCTGTCTGAATGTTACGCCTTCGGCCTATTCTACGCAGAGGTAGTCGCGGGCAGCAGCTAGTAAATAAATAATTTCCAAAATCCTAAGCAGCTTTGTACTACTACAAAGAATAGATATTCATTTGATTTCGTTTCAAACAATTCTTATTTTTTAAATATCGTAGAAAGCACGCATGTCAGTGTATGATAAGAGAATCATAGCGTACACTGTTGTCGTCAAATTAGGACGAACAAACGGTGAAAACAAATCAATAATGTATGTCTTATTATATAATAATATACATGTATAAAAAGACGTGGGTTCGATTCCGACAGCGGCGACAATCTATTCGTACTTTTTCCACGAATTTTATTGTTTTTCTGCAAAATTTTAATACATGTATATAATGTTAAGTTATTAAGCATAGCAACGTAGCTGAAGATATGATTGATCTTGCTGTTTCACGGTACAGACTCAGAGTCTGAACCATGGACGCTGAAAGGAGTTCGAATAGTCGCGAATTTTAAATCAAATTAAAACGCTATAAAAATCAATATAATAGTTTCATAAAAATGTATAATTTTCACGTAAAAACAATGAACCAATATAGGACTGACCTGTTTCTGAATTTGTAGGTTGAAAGTCAACTTCGGTGGTCTGTCGGTCTTTTGTACCTAGATAGGGCAAAGAGTTCGTTCCTTGTAGTAAAACCTCATGTGTCTACTACAGAATGAAACACCTCGCCACGGGGAAGTGAAATCACACAGTTATCGCGAAATACTTTAGCTTTTCGTCCGGTTTAAAATGTAAAAAAGTAAAGTAAAGTAACAGCCTATACATGTCCCACTGCTGGGCAAAGGCCTCCTCTATAGAGAGGGTATCAGGGCATAGTCCACCACGCGGGCCCACTGCGTATTGGCGGACTACACATATCTTCGAAAAAATTATTTTTTTTTGTTATTATTTCGAAAATATGCAGGTTTCCTCACGATGTTTTCCTTCACCGCGGAGCACGTGATAAGTCAGCACTTAAAGTTAAAAACTTCATTGGGGCCGGCACCGGGGATCGAACTCAGGTTGCTCGAGTATATTGAACTAAAGGCGAGCGTCCGGACACTGAGCTATCACGGCTCTTGAAATGTAAATCGACCTCTTATGGGTACGACGTTTTCGAAACATTTTTGTTCCCCTGATTATTACTAGGAGAACCTCATATTTCATGGATTTTCTTTGACGAATGAAAAACGTTCACTAAACATCGATTAGGGAGTTCGTATGCAGGATATCAGAGATATCTTATCTGTCGCATAGCTTTGCCAGTACAAAGAGTTGTGAGCTCTCGACCTCGCGCCTGATAAGCGATGGCATCCTCTCTATAACATCGAACGTTCCATATTCAAGCTATAAAAATACAACCTTAACTGTGGTAGGGCCATGCAACAGCTTCGGCTGTTGCACGAATGGGCAGGCTCGTCGGGGTAATTACCACGAACTCATAGAAGTGCCATACTTCTGCCTTTCGTCTGGTGAGTTAGGTAGCCGGGGTCCACTTTATTAAATGGCAACGCATCTGCAACCCTACGGTTGTTGCAAATGTCCACGGGCGGTGGTTATCACTTAACAACAGGTGAACCCAGCTCAATAGATCGGCAGAAAAACTGCTAAAATCAGCACTAGGCATCGTCCAAAGCAAAGTAGCCGCACGTAACGAAGTGCGCCGCGTTTCCAGCATCCCGTACACGGCGATCCACCGCGCCCAGCCGCAGCGGCGCCTTTTCCAGCTGGCGTACGTGAGCAGCGAGGGCCACGAGGCCACGCTGCACGTGAAGATGGCCACCTCCGGCCAGGCGGCCGCCCTCTACCGCGCCGTCACCGAGAAGCACGCCTTCTACTGCTGCGAGACGGTCCGCAGCGACGTCACCGAGCAGTTCATCAGGGACCTCAAGGTGAGACGCCCCACGTGTACACACATCGTTGTACCCGCTCGTGAATATATCAACACGTACATTGTACCCACACGTGCACACCTTAAAACATACGAGTACACACACGTTCATTCATGAACACATACATTGTAAACATATCATGCATACATTTACACATACATTTTTAAAACTTATCGCACCTGCCAAAAGACCGCCACACCATAGGTTGATTGGAGAATGCCTTAAGGCATATGTGCGCATTTTGTGTTCTATTTCGATGTCGATGAAATAAATATTAAATAAACTCATATATGCGTATAAACACACATCAGTCGAGGTAATCGAATCCACCCGTAAAAGATCCGTGATAGCTCGGTGGCTAGACGCTCGCTATAATTCAATATACTCGAGCAACCAGAGTCGAAGTCACCAATGAAATTGTTAATTGCAATTTTAAATAATGAATTATCGCGTACTCAGCGGTGAAGGAAAACATCCTGCATATTTTCGAAATAATAACAAAAAAAAATATGTAGAAGATTTCTTAAGTCCTACAACTGGGGTCGCGTCGTCGACTATGGCCAATAGATTACACGTTATTTACTTTTAATGCAGAAGTTTGATAAAATGGTTGTTACTTCGAGCGGATTCGTAAATTTATAGCATAAAGACTTCAAGTACTCCGCTTCGACTTTGGCGCGAACATACAAAAAAGCTTTGTTTGAAGACGGCAAAAAAAAACTGTAGGAAAACGTTGCTTGCACTTTGATCGATGAAGTCAGGTCTCGATGTATGATTTATTCATGAGGCGCGGTCGCTTTTCGTCGGTAGTACCACACAGGCTATTGTCGACACACCATTGTTAGGGTTCCGTACCCAAAGTGTAAAACGGGACCCTATTGCTAAGACTCCGCTGTCGCTGTCTGTCTGTCACCAGGCTGTCATGAACCGTGTTAGTTGGACAGTTGAAATCTTCACAGATGATGGATTTCTGGTGCCGCTATAACAACAAATACTTAAAAGTAGAATAAAAAAAAACTTCAGCGGGGCTCCCATACAACAGGCATGATTTTTTTGCAGATTTATAGACCGCGGGACCACTCGTACCGTTAATATTTTTTACCAAAATATGCCCGCGCCCGAGAGAATGTCGAATGTATTCGGTTGTAATATAGATACCTATATGTTTATCGGGGATTTACAAAAACCATGTGACGTTCTTATTCAATAACATGAATATGCAAATTGACCGGAGACTAGACAATCGACTTTTTGTGACCTTCATAAAATTAAAACATACCATATTCATCCACCGTCCTTAGTAAGGATACGGCCCTCAAAACAATCATTACATTGATCTCCTTTTCAGTTCTCGAATAATAATATAAATTTACGTTATTAGGCACTATGTTTACATCAGTGTTGTACAGAGGAGACTGTCATTTTACCTTACTCGTTGCCTAAACGTAAATATCAAATTGACAGAACCGGTGATATGTAATACTAGCTTTTCGCCCGCGACTTCGCTCGCGTTGAAGCCCTTAAATAAATGTCCTTTCTTCAGGCTCTAGATTGTCTGTATATCAAATTTCATTTAAATCGGTTCGGTAGTTTTGGAGTGAAAGCGAGACAGACAGAGTATACTTTCGCATTTATAGTATTAGTATGGATTTACGTAAACATTCTCGAAGGCGTATTGTTTTCAACGATAAATTGCTTGTACTAGCATTATCAATGTTGTTGACAACACTTCATTGCGCAATTCTATTTAAGGATATCGTGTTACGTACTTACTACATGTTTTGATTCTACGCTATTCCGATGCACATTTTCAATGTGCTTGCATTATTCGTTCGCCTATTAGGTCGAGTTAATGTCACCTTGTGGAGGTAATGAAGTTGCACGAGCACGATTATTTAGTGCCCAAAATAGAGCCTTGTGGGAATCCCGTCAACAAGCCTTTTATGAACGATTTTTATCAGAGTCGGATAAGATAAACGAAAAAAAAAAGGTTAATAAGAGACTAGTCGTAGGAAAGGTTGTAATTGAAAAACGGCAATATTTATGTTAATAATTATTTAATTTATGTTAATAATTTAATAATTTTTGAATGGAAATTAGCTGAATTCCAATTATACTGTTTGTGAACAAAATCCGATGTCAAGTATGTAATCTAGTAATCATAAATAGTAAAAGAAAAGATTGAAAAAATAACCATCGTTGTAACCACAACAGGTATGTGAACTACAGGTTTTTGGTTCTCGAGAAAAAATTATAAACACTGGATAGATAATAAACGTGTAAAGTTAAAAAACTTAAATTAACAGCCCATATATTTCCCACTACTGGGCAAAGGCCTTCTCTGTATAGAGGGTATTATGGCATAGTCCACCACGCGACCCCACTGCGGATTGGCAGACTTCATATATTTTTATGTGACAAGTTGGTAGGCGAGCAGGCGCCTCCCATTGACATTTGCAACACCCGGGTCTTAGATGCGTTGCCTTTATAATAAAGTGGGCCCCGGCTACGTCCTACACCAGACGAAACGCAGAAGTGTAACACCACTTCACGCCGGTCTTACCCGGTCGTGGTACTTTCCCGGACGGAGCTGCAATTCGTGCAACAGCTAACTGTTGCGCGGCTCTGCAACATTTGACACCGTTTGATGCAACGCGACTGTTCCCGCTCCGCAGGGCACGATAGCGTCGATCTTCAACGACTCCTCGACCCTCGGCCGCCGCTACGTGTTCGACATCAGGCGCACCTGCCGCGAGGTGCACGACCGCGCGCGCCGCGCCGCCCACGCCCACGCCGCGTCCCACGCCCACGCCCACGCCAACTCCCACGCCCACGAGCCGCGCACCCGCCGCCGCTCCGCCACGCAGCACGAGGTGAGTGCGCCACACGAATCGCCCACGCCCATCATTGGCGACGCCCAAAGATATCCTCAGTACCAGGAGGGGAGGGGTTACGGCATCTCATATCAATTACATCGCTGCTCTGCGGGCAATACCATACCACCGTATTGCCTCGCCTGTCGGTTTGACCCACTCCCATTATTCACGAACCAATTGAGCATACACTTATAATTTTTGATCTGCCACTCCCAAACTGAAGAGAAGACGACAACGCTATGATTTTCACCTGAATCATTAAATTTTTCTTGCTATGCAAAGTCAAAGTCAAAGTCAAATATCTTTATTCAATATAGAAGCATTCACTTACTTATTGATAGTCAAAAAACTCTACCACCGGTTCGGAAGGTAAGCCACTGACCTGAGAAGAACCGGCGTAAGAAACTCAGCGGGACATTTACATTATAAAAAAGCCGCTCTCTTTATAAAAAAGGCCACTGAACCCTTCTGAAGCATCGATATCAAGCTTCCCACCGGTCTCTTAAGCGTCACCCCCACGCCTCCCCCTACTGAGCGCCGTCTGACAAGGCCGTCCCCTCAGGGCGCGCGGCCCCGCTCCCGCAGCGGCGGTGAGGCGCTGGCCTGCAGAGTGTGCATGGACGCCGCCATCGACATGCTGCTGCTGCCCTGCCGCCACGTGGTCTGCTGCAGGCTCTGCGCGCCCAGGTACGGAGCGCCACCCAACAGCCTTTGCCGTTCTACTGAAGCAACAATACTCGCACTGTACACACTTTTAACCGATAATATAATATTTTACTGGGGCGAGCCACGCGACAGTATTCGCTTTTGCACAGAAGTCCCCGTCTCGTGATTGAGGAAGCCGAGGCCCATGTTATTATAAGGTAGCAAAGCATATACAATCCTGCCAGTGTTGCAAATTTCAATAGACCACGTGAACCACTAGCTCATAAAAAACATATTCAAATGCCCATTTACACCCTGATGACTATGCAGTTGTTGAGGTAGAGTAGGTAATGCAGAGCAAGGGGTTGTGGGCTTGATTCACGCACAAGATAACTACTTGTGAGACCAACAGACAATTGTCTCAGATCTGGGTGTTTGTCCACATGAAATATATGTATGTAAAACATCCTTACAAAACAGGATAATCTTATCCTAAAGTAAGGGGCCGTGTTTTCCAAGGGAAGACTCCAAAAAATCTTTCTATGATGCAATTTTCATTGGGAATTACTACCCAACCCTTCCACACAAATCATAACCCTTGGTACACAAACTGTTACACATTTATGTGTCAAATATTTAGAAAAGATGTTACCTACAATTACAGTGGATCTAGAGAGATGTCATAGGTGTCATTGAAATTGAATAATATGTTTCTTTAAAAAGTACAGCTTGGTTTCTTACCTGAATCTCACATTCTTCTACTACAAGTTGACCATGATTAGATAAAAGAATACATACTATTTAATAATCAATTATAGTAGAAAATAAAAAAAATTAAATTGTGTAGTAATTACATCTTTAATAAAAGTAAATCTCACCTTCTCAAAAATTGTCATTAAGGTCAGGACCTGATCACAAATTTAAACATCTTCTCCTTCAACATTCTTCCCTTTAATATTTCATGATTATTAAAACTATTTTTAAAAAAATATGTTAAGTCTCTGTACCATAGTCATACCATACCATACCATGCAAGTAGAATTGTATAGTTGACATTTTTTTTTATATAAGTAAATGGCAAGCGCGCTGGCTGTTCATCTAATGTTAAGTGATAAACACCGGCCGTAGGATTGCAGATGCATTACCAACTTGGAATAAATTGGGCATAATTCAGCAAACCAGACGGAAACACAGAAGTATAACTTCCAATTCGCGCCAGTTCTCTGCGAGGTCTTGCTACTTCCCTGGATGGAATGCCAGTTAACGTGCTCTAAATTCCCTCAATACAGAGGAGGCCTCGGCACCGTTATTTCTCACAATTCTCTCACTTTCATACCTTTCGAACTACCAAAGTCGAAGTCAACACTTCTTTATTCGGCATTATTGTTTTAAACTCTTATTGAACGGCAAGAAACTACTTTTGCTGCAAACTGTTGCTCATAAAAGCGTTATTTTAATTGCAGATGCAACCGATGCCCCTTGTGCCGCCGCGAAATCGAGAAGCTAATGCACATATTCCTGCCCGTGGAGTACCAGAAGAGTCCTGGGGTCATCATAAAATGATCGACGGTCCAATCGACATGCCGATACAGCGCTTGAAACATGGAGGACGTCTACGAATTCGCAAAACGTTTTCGAATACGAGTCAACCTCACCTTCGTTGCCGCCATAACGCGCAACTGTCAGTGTCAATGTCAAATCATTGCATTTTGCATTGGCAACACTTTCGGTCGAAATTGAAATGAAGCCGTGAACTCAATTAAATTAATAAATATTACGTTATTGATTTAAGGTATTTGGTTCCGAATTTTTATATGGAAACTTGTATAATAGAAATTGGTGACTACACTTGGCGCTCTGTGACCGGTGCGAAGACTCGGAAAAGCATTAAAGACTAAAGAGTGTGTGTGTGTGATCGTCTGTCTAGTCAAAAATGTTGACTTTTGTGTTAAACTGCATTTTTTACTGTGTATTGCTTAGTGGAATGTTTCCTTTCTTACGGAATAAGAGCATTCCAATATTTACCCAATAACTTTTAATTACAATTGGTACTTATAATCTTAGATTTCTTAACGAAAATAAATCTAAGTTTAAAAGATATGAATTAACTTTGTGACACGTCTTCCTTCGTTTTAGAAGGATATAATAATTTTAATGTATTTTTGTGACTTAATTATAATTAACCTAACATCTGGCTCATTCGCCTTTGTAACTCACAAAAGTAAAGAAATGTAAGTAAACCAAAAAACAAAAAACTTAAAATATAAGTGAGATGCATTTTCAAGTTATAATTATTAACGAATGTGTTACATACATATTAGGATTACGTCAATTTTTAACGTAAGTCATAGTAATACTTGTAAGACCTATGGTCTATAAGTAATTTCTTAAAAGAAAAATAAACAGTGTCAAAACGTGTTGTGTTTTATTATCATATCATTTTATTAAATATAGCATCAAAAACTTTTCCAATCAAAAATAATCCAAATACAAAACAAACGAAAAAAAAAATTTGAGGTAGGCAAATATTTTGTAATTACGAGTCTATCTTTGGTTGACTGATATCCTCATTTTACAAAAGCTTCGTCGAACGCAGAGTTCGTAGAATAGCCAAATTTCACGAAGTTTGGTGCAACTGGAACCCTTGTGTTGTAAGACAATGCATTTGCTCATTCGAGCGCTATATTTTGGGAGAGGAATTCTCACCTACAGGCCATAGGTAGAGACCGTAACAGAGATGGCGGTAGATATGCAGTCTATCTCATCATTCATTTAGTTAACCCACACCTTTATTCCTAAATTAACTTCTTTTTAGTCCATCCAAAAGTTGCCTGGAAGAAATTACTCTTAGTAATAAGGTCGCCCATTGTACTTCTACATTAAGTTTTCATTTTTGTTTGTTTTATTTTTGGTGTGCAATAAAGTATATTCATTCATTCATTCACCAATTACAGTGTTCAAAACCTAACTTAAAAAATAAGCCTTAAGTCCGAACGAAGTTCAGCACAAAGAGAATGTAATCACCACGTTTATGGTTCAGCAAATGGGTTAACATTACGCTTTCTTTAAAAATAAGTACGACATCTAGCGATATGCAGAGGTAAGTCAGTCGCTATTGAAGAAAGCCTGCTGAATGATAAGAAAAAGCAGGTTGTACACATCGGCGCAAGAAATGTTTTAACAATTCGATGTTATGTTACATCACATATCTCTATTTATTTTATAATACAATCTAACGATTTATGGATAATAGATTCCATTATTATCAGAATTGATTCACAAATTATTTAACATAAATTAGATGTTAGTAATATGTTTCTACTTATTTCATTTTCCTAAACATATAACTAGACATACGCCCAGTTTCTGAATCACTGATCATCGACCATCGTAGAAATTAAGTAATCAGCTGTCAAATGTCTTTTCAAATGTCATTTGAGTTGCCAAAAGCAAAGTTACTACTTACACTTACTAACGTTCGTAAGTATAAGATCTTTGCCAAAAGGTCGGTTATACTGTTTGAGTTTGAATTGATCATTCTGATCATTAAGAACATCAAACACTCTGATCAATTTAGAGAGTTTAACCATCCTTTTGGCAACTCAAACAACATTTGAAAAGTCATTTCACAGCTGATTACTAGATGTAGTTGACTTCTACGATGATCAGTGTTTCAGTAACCTGGCGGAAATGTTCTATAAACCGGGCGATAATTTTATATAAAAATATGGTGAAAATTAATCATGACGCTATTGTTGGCTACAAACGATTGATTTATAATTGAAAGAAAAATCGTACAGGATTTTTCTTTGAATGTAAGTAAATTGAAAACAAAAAATTAAATTGAGGAATAAGGAAGTACAGTGTGTGCAGAGTAAATAGAATTTTACATGAATGTGGAATAGGAAATCGACTCAATTGCATATGTCTATTTCATTTACGTAACAAAAACAGATATTAGCGTTTATATTGGGAATTTACGATGTTATTTTTTATTGATTAAAACAAAATTAAAAAATCTAATTTATTTTTTCATGCCAGGTATAAATTAAATAAAATGTGACAATTTCAAATAAAAAATCCATACCTTATTGTACATTTACATTTACAATATATAATTCGTAGATTTACCGGGCGTTATTTATTTTGAATAAAAATTTCAAATTTTTCTGGAATACGTCACACCACCACCAGTTGTAAGGATAAATAACAACGGTTATGTACTTTATCTATAATAAGCCAGAATTTTTAAATTCTTAATCTTAATTTATTTTCAAATTCTTTGTTTTACTTAGAAATTTGATCTGTAATTTTGTACAAATAGGTACTCAGATTTATTACATACGTGTTGGTAATAATTCATATAAAAATTAACAGTGTATTTAATACAGAACAGGGGTTGTGTGTGTTTTTAGTGGCAACATTTTCCCCAATTCGCACGAGCGCAAGATGGCTGCCAATTTATGTGAATGCAAGGACGAGTTGTAAAGTGATATTCGTTAGTTTGGTGATATTTAGTTTATATTGTGATAATACCTCTGTATATATTACCTGGCTGCAGTGTATGTGTTTTCGTGCAATTTCTAATGAGTTTTCGATGTTTATAAATCTGAATGTGCAATATTGCGTTAGAAGGCATTTAAAATGTTCTGTGTTGAGTTGTGATTATTATTTATGCAGTGACAGTCCTGTCTGGGCTGATATGATGCTTGTTGTTGGATGATATCGGTGTTTTCATGTGAGTATGTCTTCTCTCAGCTTACCAAAAAAGTCTCGCGCATGCAAAATTCAAGAAGGGTTTGTTAGTCGTGTTAACCTATTTGACTATATGGGGAGTTTTCCGTGGCGTGGCGAAACGAGGCGCCGGCTCGTTGCCGGGCCGTTCGTGTCCCGAAGCAGCTGTTCTTTTCACACGCCGCCGTTACCTCATTTTCATTCATCGCTCTTAATTTTCATATTTATCGATGTTTTCATCGTGACGCTGACCTGTGTCATATTTCTTTGTACTGCGGTTTCTAGGATACTTTTTTTTTTACATTAAAAATACATTTAAGGCATAGTTTATCATAAGTTGCACTCATTTAGGCAACATTAAAAACTTCAAAACCTTGTTTATGAATAATCATAATGGTGTTGCAAGTACTTATTCAAATCTACACAATGATAAAATTATGTAATTAATTTGAACATTTAGATAAAAGAGGTACTTATTTGAATGAGCAGTCATGTCATGATTGACTCAAAAATGAATTTAGTTGCTACCTAACCTCATTTTATGATATGAGTATTATTAACTGCAAAAGTGATGTCATGTTTTTCACCTATATACCAGATTTAAACAGAAATTATTACGTATGAAAGAAATATTTTCATGAAGTTGTATTTTATAGACATTGTGTAGATGAATGTCATAAACTTTACCGTTGATACATTTTGTGTTGCAATGTGAAAGTGAAACCACTAATGCAAAAGACAACCCATTGTTTAGGGGATTTAGTGCATATGTTCTTATTATACATATTTAGTGGGCATTAGTTTTGGGGGTCACTAAATTTTCATTCTAGCTTGTTCTTCTGTTAAATGAAAATAATGTTGAGGCAAATATGAAAAAAATTAAGAGGCATTATTGAATGTGGTTTAGTAAATTTTTTTAGAGTTAATATAGATTCAAAGAATAATAACATTAATTTAAAAATCCTGGTTAATTATTTAAATTGAAATCATTGGGTCCATAACTGTGTATTGTGGCCTTGTCGTTAACCCAAATTGCTATAATAAGTGTGTGTGTGTGTGTGTGGAGTGTTATTGCTCCATTTATATATTCTAGTTCGGAAGGAAGTGCAAAAAGATTCTCAAACCCTGTAGTATGACCCAATGCTGTCTACAAAAAAAATTGCCAAACATTTCCAATGTGTAGATGAAGTTCATTTGTGGTTTTATGATGGTTTTCATAATAAAATATTATTAAGTATTACCTGAACAAAATTTAAATCAATATTCATTTATAATTTTATGACATTATTGCATTGATGGACCATATCTTATCTTTGCTTTTTAATTTACATAGTATTGATTTTTGCATAAAATAGCATTTAAAAACAATCAATCGCAGAATGCTGAAGAAGAGTACAAAGCAGTGAGGTTTACATAACAATGAATAATTACAGGAATTAGCATTTCACAATATGTTTGGACTTATCAAACAATTGAATTTTGAATTTGCAAAATGTACTGTGAATTTTGTGTAAACAATTGCAAATGTGAATGAACTTGAACAGGCTTTGTTCTATACATGTCATGATTGATGTGTCGTTAGTTGTGTTAATTTTAAACTATCATTGATTATTCACAGTAAATTTATGAAATTTTAAGTGATAAAAAAAACATATAAAAGAAATATATGTATCATTTCTATGTTGCATATATTTATACACATGTCTATGTTTATTTAGAGGCAGAAATATAATTATGGCATCCAGATGTATCCATCACCTTTATTTCTTTATCTGCTATTCATTAGAATGTCTTAAGTGAATACCACTTCAGTTATCTGCTACTTT